CGCCCCTTTAGGCTCCTCGGACCATTGTCTTGTCCGGAGTGTAGTGCCACTCACGTTGAAATCGCAGTTGCATTCTGCAGGCTGCCGCCGTGTTTGGCACTATAGGTCAGCCGATTGGGATGGGATGCGATCTTTTTCCCATCCTTGGGGGCGGGTTTGCTTCTCGCCGGACGATCCCAACGTTGTTGCGGATTCTGTCGATGATTTTTCTGACTGACTGACGACTGGCTGACTTTTTATTCCTTCCTCTGTGGTGCCCATTAGAGGCAAATCTCAGCCATGGTTTGGTCGTTCCTGTAAAATAGCATCATGCTATAAGCAGGAGTGCTACCAAGCCTGTGCTGACACATCAACGTCCCGGGATGTAAACACCAGTGCTCTAAAAAAGAAGTATAATTCCGCCTCTAGGTCCTTCAAAAAAGTCATTGCCAAGGCAAAGTCAGAGTACAAAGGCAGAATTGGCGAGAAACTAGTTCGCCTTCCTTCTGGAACCCGTGCATTCTGGTCTCTCGCCAAGGCTGTCCAGGGGAATTTCTGTCAGCCAACTCTTCCATCTCTGCACAGGAAGTACGACTCACTGGCCTATACCGCAAAGGAGAAAGCCGATCTGCTAGGCTCTTTCTTTGCGTCCAACTCGACTCTCGATGACGGGGGGAGTACGCCACCGACCATCCCGCGGTGTAAGTGCTCCATGCCGGAAGCGCAGTTTACACAGCGCTCGGTTCGCAAAGCACTCCTCTCCCTGGACATCCACAAGTCGAGTGGGCCTGACGGAATCCTCCAATTGTGCTGAGTTGGCACCGGTTTTAACGCGTCTTTTTCGGAACTCCTACTCCCTAGGCATAGTCGCAAAATCATGGAAGACGGCTTTCGTCCACCCGATCCCTAAAAAAGGCGACCGCTCAGACCCGTCTAACTACCGGCCTATCAACATCACCTCCTTGTTCTCCAAAACAATGGAGATGACCGCCAATACGGTTTTCGCCGTGGTCGATCAGCTGGTGATCTTCTGGTCTACCTAACTCATATATGGGCGGAGGCAATAGAGTCCAAGGGGAGGCATTGGCCGTTAGTTTGGACATTACGAAGGCCTTCGATCGGGTTTGGCACAAAGCGCTTCTTTCGAAGCTCCCTTCCTATGGGCTTCCCGAGAAATTGTGCGATTGGATCACCAGCTTTCTTGCAGATCGGGGCATCAAGGTCGTTGTAGACGGTGCAAGCTCCGATTGCAAGCATATTAATGCTGGTGTTCCACAAGGCTGCGTGCTATCGCCAACGCTGTTTCTTCTACATATCAATGATATGTTGCAAACCCGTAACATTCATTGCTATGCAGATGACAGCACTGGTGATGCTCTTTACACCGGCCGAGCCAATATTTCTCGGGAAAACTTCTCCGAGTACCGGGATAAACTTGTGTCTGAAGTCGAGTCTTTGCTGAACAGAGTCTCGGATTGGGGGCGACTAAATCTAGTCCAGTTTAACCCCCAGAAGACACAAGTTTGCGCGTTAAACGCTAAAAAGAACTTCTTTGTCGTATCTCCTCAGTTTCAAGGCACTCCTCTTGTTGCCTCAGCCAGTATCGGAATCCTCGGCGTCGACATATCGAGTGACGTGCAGTTTCGTGGTCACTTAGAAGAGAAGGCCAAATTGGCCTCTAAAAAGCTTGGCGTGCTCAGCAGAGCGAGGCAGTATTTCATGCCGGCACACCGCCTGCAACTTTACAAGGCGCAGGTTCGGCCGCACATGGAACACTGTTCCCATCTCTGGGCTGGGGCTCCTCAGTACCAGCTCCTTCCACTTGACCGCATCCAGCGCAGAGCGGCTCGAATCGTCGCCGACTGAGTGCTTTCCGATCGGCTCGATGCACTGGCACTGCGAAGAGATGTTGCATCTCTTTGCATTTTCTTTCGCATATACCATGGGGAGTGCTCTGAAGAATTGTTCGGATTAATCCCAGCCGCCAAATTTCGTGAACGCACTACGCGGCAAACGTCCCGATATCCATCCAAACCATCTGGATGCTTGGCGGTCCACCACTGTACGTTTCACAAGGAGTTTTCTTTCGCGTAGGACTTCTCTGTGGAATAGTTTACCACCGGCGATTTTTCCGGGCCGATACGACCTGGGGACCTTCAAGAAGAGTTTACTCCTTTCTAAAAGGCCGGCAACGCACCTGCGATTCTCCTGGTGTTGCGGTTGATCATGGGTGGCTGTAGTCACTTAACATCAGGTGAGCCGCATGCTCGTTTGCCCCCTCTTCTATAAAAAAAACTGCTTTGCCTTTCTTGCTCACAAATCTATTTCTGTATCTCCTTATTTGTATACTCTACCACTCGCTGCTTTGGTGAAATATTTTTGTTTGAGATGCCTTCCTCACTTTGTTGATGACTACGTTGAGCGTGAGCGATACTTTGCTGACGATGGAGAACAATGAACAGTTAATGTTTCCCTTTCATCACTCATGTGTGGCAATCCCACAGGACCACTGTCATACTCGAAACTATTCATCAAACCTACGTTCTTTTTCTTGCTTAAAGATTGCGAGAAGTTATTAATAAAAGAAGATTTTTTAAGAATTTCAAGGATGTCTTTAGTTCAGATAGTTCACTTTTACTGACAAAATCTTCATAAATTTTATCAATTTCACTGCGCATTTTTAGTAGGTCTTTAAGGAGTCGTGTGACATCAATATGGTCGAAGAGAACGGGAGGCAATTTGTGTAATTCTCGTGCAACGAAAATTGGTGTTTTTATAATCGTTAAGTGTCTTTCCCGCTCTTTTGGGTGTTTTCTTAATTTTTGTGGCTTCCAGAGATTCAAATAATAATTATTTTGCTGATTTTATTTCACTCAAAGAAAAAGCAATAGCACATACGCGGCTAATGCTCTCCTCGTCCATTACATCGACTTTATTACAAATAAATGCAAGTACTTCACTAATAACTATGTTACACGATGATACACATTTTACTAAACTGGACATTTTTTACATACATACATACATAAAACACTCACGCCTGTCACCCAGAAGGGTAGGCAGAGACTACGACTTCCATTTAGCATCAGTCTTTCCTCATTCATTCTTTCCACATGACCAAACCACCGAAGCATTCCTTTCTTAATCCTGGTCACCGCATCATCCTGCAAACCACACTCTTATCACACAGTTTCTCACCCTGTCACTCAGATTCAGCCCTAACATACTCCTTAGCGGCCGCATTTCTACTGCATTTATTCTACTCTCGTGCTTCTGCCACACCCAATTTTCACTACCATACGTAAAAGTAGGGACTAATAGAGGATTGTGAATTGAAATACGTGCCTTTTTGACACATTCTGACTTTTCACAATAGAGTGTAGAGACCCATTTACATTATTTCCTGCATTCACTCGTCGTTCAATATCCATATCATATCTCCCATCCCGGCTGAATATACATCCCAAATATATAAATTGATCTACTTGCTCGACCATCTTTTACAATAAGGTTAACCCCGTTCCCCTACAGTGGGACGTAACTTTTAAATTTAAAAAGTTATTAAATAAGAGCAGCAGAGAAAACGCGCGCTCTGCTAGCTAGACACTTTATTATATCTTTTAAGCACAGTATCTGCTAAAAATTTGAGCTTAACAACTACTATATTCTGATACACGAAATCAAATAAAGTTGCACGATGCTAGAATTGAGATCATCAGCATATCTCAGCCCTTTACAAGTCTACTGTTGAACAAGGGCTCTCCCCAAGGAATGCCACCTAAATCACTCAGTCACTCTATCTAATTAGAAGCCACCCATTAAATGAATGGCCGTATATAACAAATGTAATATTAATTTTATATTTTTTCCATTTATTAAAAAAGTTTTAACGTAAACTTTTCAAATTATTATTTTATTTCATAGAAATTAGATCTGATCCTTGGCCCTTAGAGCGAGATCCACCCATAGGTCCACACATCCTTAGGTCGCTGGTTCCTTATCCGGCTCGAAGGACCAGATTGTTCGGGTATTGAAACAGTAACGATCATTCCATTTTAGCTTGAAGGCATGACGATGTGTCCCTGTTTTGATTTTTAGCCGACTTCAAAAAAGGATGAGATTCTTAATTCATCCGAATCTTTTTTATGTATGTTCACCGATTACTCGTAGACGCCTGAACTTCCCAAGTGGTCCCATTTAAATTTTACGGAAATCAGTCCAGGTGGTTTTTAATTTAAATTAAATTAAAATAAATTAATTGATAATTGATAGAATCAGGCGTTACTTTGCGGAAGTTAGTTATAATAAAGATTATAAATAAAGAAATGGTGCTGGGATTAGTGGTGACGGGATTAGTGCACGCAATTGAGAGAGGGCGGGAGGTGCTCTTCAAACTAGGTAAGACACATCATTTCATTTTATTCAGCGGATGGTTGCAAAGTAACTATTAACATCTTATATTGAAGTCGGTTGTACAAAATTCTTAATTTGTACACTTGAAGTTAAATGTAGGTTTCTGTGTACTATCAGATGGATTGTGATTTCGTTTGTTACCTTTGTTTGATAATGGAGATAAACTCAAACCGATGAAGTGATAAGCAGGCGCGCTACGTGTCTTGTTGAGAGGCTCACGTTCGGCAGGGGTGCGTGGGGGTGGTATGTGGGGTGGTATGAGGGGTGGTATGAGGGTTGGTGTGAAGGGTGGTGTGAGAGGTGGCGAAGTGTTGAGTTGGTATGAGGGTTGGTGTGAAGGGTGGTGTAAAAGGTTGCGTAAGTGTTGGGGTGGTATACGGGTTGGTGTGAAGAGTGGTGTGAGGGGCGGTATAAGGGGTGGAGTTAGGGGATGTGTGAGGGGTGGTGCAAGAGTAGTGTGATCGGTAGTGTGAGGGGTGGTGTGAGTGGTAGTGTGGGGGTAGTGTAATGGGTAACATAAGAGGTTGTGTGAGGATAGTATGAGTGGTGTGAGGGATAGTGCGAAGGTGGTGTGAGGGGTAGTGTGAGGGAGAGGGGTGCGCACTGACCATGGCGGTATCGCAGGCGTGGGTCACCACAGGCGCGAGACGCGGAAAGCGTGCCCGCACGGCCCGCAGTGCCTCGCGGTGCGCCACCATCTTCTGCTCGCCCCACTCGTTGCCCGAGAACGGCATGAACTCGATGAACCTGCGCATAACAAACATTTTACGGCTCCGTAGCGCAATGGTTTAGCAATGAGTTACAGTGCTAAGGGCCGCGGGTTCGAATCCCGCACGGAACAGGTATTTGTATGGTCTGCATTTAAGGTTTGTTCTTGTCACATTTATGTGTGAAAACTGCTCCCAGGATACAGGCGAAAATGATAGTGTGGAGGTTTAGAGGTTTAAAGTTTTTAAAAAAATTAAAAAAAAAGGAAGAACCATATTTATGCACTCGCACTCTGCCAAAACGAATCCGGCAAAACATTTCTCACGGTGGGCTGGATACATGAAAATTCATAAATCTGAAATGAACAGAAGCTACAATTTGATCGCGATTGGCTGATGACGGACAATGATCGTTCTTTCGTTAACAGATTACACCGATAAAATATAATAAAATTATGAAGCTTAGCAATTTGTTTAGTTGATGGAAAATATAAAATGCTTGTGGCGGAAGGGCACTCCTCTTAATAATTAAAAGATGTTTCGATACCATTAACTGATCAGATTAGAAATAAATAAAAATATTAAATCAGCACGTGAATAAGTACATAAAAACCTTCACACTTTCAATCAAAATAATAAATGTATTCCACCGAGAGACAATAACCTTGTCCAACAAGCCTTGACCTCTTGTTTGAATTCTTCAAATGTCATGTTTGTTATAAAAATATGAGTAAACGTAAAGGAGTCACTCTTCCTTTAACATAATGTTATATGACTTGAACCTGCTTATTACTAAACTTACCTAACTTCAACCTCCCGATCGCGAGTGTACTCTACGAAGTCGCATATCTCGTCATCGTTGAATCCTGAAAGTGATTCATAAAATATGAATAAGCACAGGAGCGACTAAACACAATACTTAGTAAATGTTCACACCTCGCATGAGCACGGTGTTCACTTTGACTGGACGGTATCCCAGCTGCAGCGCCAAGTCTATACCGGCAAGTACTCGACTCAGTCCCTGATTGAAATACAACTCGATTAGAATTACATCATTTATGTGGATAACGTACACCTTCATTACTGATCAATTTATCTGTTGCCTCTTGATATAGTAGGGGATGATATCTTTAAAATCAGGACAAATATATATGTAGGTGGTAGAGCCACGCTACAGCGCGAGTCACTGCGGAATGATTAAACCCGCAGTAAAAACCAGCATGAAATAGCAGCATGATATTGTTTTGTATCGCATGGTGTGCGAGACCCGGAGACCATTTTCCTGGAATGGACTCGCAAACTTAGAGAATGGTAAACCATTACTATTAGCACCGGCATTAACTAACCACCTACGAATATATGCGAAAGTACAGACGCACAGATATTTTTACAGTTTATTATTTACAGGATTATCAGTTTATTATTTAATATCATGATCTTTATTTCTTCATATGTTGTAAAAAAGCTTATTATTATAATCTTTTTCATGAGATTTACCATTACCGTTAGAGCCTATCAAAAATCGACGGCTGAATACGGGCCTCCTCCATAGCATGTTTCATATGGGGGAATTCCTGCTTAGTTGCGGCACGGCAGACGGGTTGGCAAACGCAGTTTTTCATTCTGTATTGTTATTAGGAAGATGCTTTTGCCCATCTCCTGGTTTGTTTCCATCTGTCACTGTCGTTCAGGCCAGCCATGGGTACAGTTTTAAGAGATACAGCAAAACACTTGTAACAGTATTTCTATATAATATCGATGAAAGTCAAAAATTCTCAATAGTCCAAGGGGTCCATTGAGGGGGGGGGGGGGAAAATGGCAATCATTGAAGCAATCAAGAACGGCGGCCGTGGGGTACGGTATCATAAAATATTTTAAAAATTTGTATTTGCAAGAATGTGTTTTTAAGCTATTGCATAGCTTCTATCGCGGGCCTTGAGCGTGGGGACCGAATCCAGAAATTTATTCCGCCGTAACGAAAAAACCTCACGCTACCCACTCCGACGGGCACGGAGGTGTGGCTTGAAGGCCGTGCATTGTCTAACGTCGTTTTTTTCGGCAGTCTTCGACACGGTGTTTGTGTATAAAGTGTTTTGAATATGAATGAACAAAGTGCATTTATTATTAATGAAGAAAGTCACGAAATAATAGTGAAAGAAAATGAGTGAGTACTCTATATACATACATTTTATTATTATCACAAATGCAGTACTAATTTTGAATTGAAAATATAATACTGCTATAAAGATAACCTAAATTTTTGATATTAAAAGTAGCCCTCTTTATATACACACAAACACACACACGCGTATAGTTTAAATTCTCAATTTAGATTCTCAATATATATATATATATTAGAGATGGGCCGAAATTCGGTACAAGAAAAATAATACCTACTTGCACTTATTTTAACTGAAATATAAGGTGCTTCTAAACTACAATATGCCATGGCTGCAACTGGTGGTTCTACTCATGATACTGTACCACTTTCCCCAAGGAACCCATAATCAATTCTCAAAAAAAAATTGCACTTTGTATGGAAATCGGTCAGCTGATTGGCCAAGTCTCCATACAAACAACCGTGGCATATATTTTAGAAGCACCTTATATAACAACATTAGATACTGTAAAATAAAAGATATTACTTTTACTCACTCATGGTCAATTATTTATTTATTTATTTCGGAACATTGTAAATGTAAACCACTTTGATTGGTTGGGAAAGGAATGATTAAATCAGTTCCTATCTTATTAATAATCTTAATCTTAGTTCTTAACCTTAATCTTAGTTAATTAGTTATTAATCTTAGAAATCCCTGCCTAATTAATAATTAGCCATATTACAAAAATGAAATAAACTTTGTATTCTCCTAGTAAACATCTGGATAGGAGTCCGTAAATTAAATAAAAAAATAATGTTTTTGATTCAACATTCATTAACCTCAAGTATTTTTTATTACAATTAAAGGGTATTTGTTTTCAACAATCATATTAAACCAACTTTTCTTGTCTATCTAGTCATATTTAAAATTTACCAGAGTCAGGTTATGGTGCAAAAACACCAAAGATCTGCCTTATCTGGCATAAGTATATATATATATATATCACAATACTGATTCTACGTCCTTTCATTTCGCATTATTGTAGCGTCCACCACTTGTAAGCAATTTTAATACATTATGACTGCGAATATTGGTCCATTAAACAATTTCAAAGATAGTGTTTAACTCATTTCTTTGAAAATTTACCATATATCGATATACAAATATTCGTATATTGCCAGACGGAGGGAAACCAATCAGGACTCCCTTCCATATTACAAATTATCCAGAATCCCCGTAATATACATAGTTTTTAATTCATTCTCCTGATTAAGGTGACACTAGTCGACATTATTTCCGTAGAAATTTCGGAGGGGTTTTACTCCGCTGTTTGACAGTGTACATCAACAGTACATACAAGTGACAGTTAAACATGATATCGTTTTGTCTCATTATTAATTTTGTCTGTACGGAAACAGAATAGTAAAATAAAAAGTCATTAAAAAGTTACGAGCTATCAAAAATTCGTTTTTATTGCCAATTTTAACACAACTTTGGGCGTAAATTAGTAATAAAAGCAGTGTAAAATTTCCAAGACAAAGTCGGTACCGACACAGCTCAATTATCGAAGAATTCAATAAATTTTATTTGTAATTGATTTATGCAGTGGTTTTTTCATAAAACCCCTTCTTCCAAAGGCCTTTTCGTATTTTTTTACGCGCGCGTGTTTATATGAATTATCGTGCATCTCACTTAATAACGTTTCTCCCGGTGCGGTGCGGGAGGACGACACTTACACACACATGCATGCGCGGTGACGCACGCTTATTCTAGTTTTATTCGACTCAGTCAGCTGCGGCCTGTGACGTTCGTATTATACCTGCTTTCGTAGCTATACCTGCGCTCTAAATTACTACGCTACATTGACCCATGCTTGAACTTTGGATTTCGATACTACTCTGTTTGGCATAGAAATTGATATTATTGAAAGAGATGATGCGTTTTGGACGGCAGACAAAATTTTAAAATTAGATAGCTTTTATCAGAAATGTGTTTTGCCGGAGCTGATAGATCCCCGTTACCCTCGCAAATTACAATTTAGAGATCGAATGTAAATCAAATTGATATAAGCACAGACAAAAATAGCGGAAAATAATAAAATTTTGAAAAAAAAACGATCTCAAAATTTTATTAATGTTCCGCTAATTTTATCTGTACTTACCTATGTCAATTTGATTTACATTCGATTATAATTATATTCTCAGACGTGCAGGTTTCCTCAATATGTTTTCCTTCACCGCCGAGCACGTGGTAAATCAGCACAATTGCAATTAACAATTTCATTGGTGCCGGCGGGGATCGAACTCGGGTCTGCATGTCTGAGAAATTAAAAAATATATATTTCGAAGACATGTGAAGTTCGTCAACACGCATTGAGGCAGCGTGGCGGACATTTCCTTGCCTTAAAACCCTCTCAGAAATTAGAGGAGGCCTGTGCCCAGCAGTGGGACGTATATAGGCTGTAACTTTACTTTTTTTTACTTTTATAAATATATTATTTTACCGACGAAAATTTTAAAGAAAAATAAAAAATAAGCAACCGACAACCTCCTAGGTCCCTAGGTGACTTGCGAGATGTCAGTGTAACAAAACAAAACGGCCCAGAAAAACAGACTTTCCCACTGATAGCTAAATCAGCACGCAATAATTTCATTGGTGCCAGTGGGGATCGAACCCGGGTTGCTCCCGTACTGTGATACTTATAACGAGCGCTAACCATGTGAGCAACCACGGCTCTCAACGACATCGTTCCGTTCGTGTACAGCGCTGAAGATAGCAGAGTAAAAAATTAGAGATTGTGGTGTTTGAAATTTGTCATCTATGAGAGTGAATTTTATCTGTGTACTCTGTAACAAATAACTATATAGAAAAAAATGTGAAAATGACATTTTTATATTTCTCCGTTTTTATACGTTATTTCTAATGTTATTTTACATCAAATTAATTGCGAAGATATTTTCTTTTGGAAATATGTATCATTACGACGATTCAAAAACGTTTACATATAATAATTTACCTCGAAATTCACTATACGCGATTATCGTTTATTGATTAACATATGTTGTTTAAAAAGTATTCTTATCAGTTTTTTGTGTTAAATGGATGCTAAATATAAAAGAATGCTTCAGTATTGATAGCAATTTATTAACGAAATATCTGTTGAGATGTGTCTAGAAATTATTAATACTTATTTTTATTTATTTATTAAAATAATAAATAAATAAAAATAAGTATACATTTATCTATATTGAGTACTAGTTGTTCCCCGCGATCTCGCCCGCGTGGAATATGGATTTCATGGGTTTTAATTTTTTTGCGCGGAACCCTAATTCTTTTTCTAAAACAATAGTAGTTCAAGTTATTCCTTATATCATCAGCTATCTGCCAGTGAAAGTCCCGTCAAAATAGATCCAGCTGTTTCAGAGATTAGCTGGAACAAACAGACAGATAAAAATTTTAAAAATTGTGTTTTTGTTACTAGTAATTTCATATGCATTTAATAAAAAGCTGTTGTTTTAACATTACAAACAGACACTTCAATTTTATTTATTTGTAGATATAGATATAAGATATTATTCATATTGGTGTCATTTTAAAGGGAATATCATGTACTATTATAATAATAAAATAATTGTCTCCAGTAAATATTATACTTTTCTTGTAAAACTCGAAATAAAAAATAAATACGATTTATTTTTATATCCCCATATGCTTTATTTTCATCCTTTATTTTTTATTTGACCAATTTTCTTTTAACAAAATTAAATTCTGAATTCGTTGAGCTTTTTGAGAATATTTTTATTTGAATGTTAGGTAGGTACCTATATTAGTTTTTCAGTAGTAATCGTTTTTGTTGCGACAGTCTCGCGCGGTCGTAAAAAAAGTTACTGCGCGGACAGGTGGGACGAGAATCACTTGC